TTAGCAGTGATGGAAGAGATGAATGCTCTTAGGAGAAGTGGTACTTGGGAGATAGTTGACTTGCCTAAGGAGAAAAAGACTGTAGGTTGCAAATAGGTCTTTACTGTGAAGTGTAAAACGGATGGTAGCATAGAAAGGTATAAGGCAAGATTAGTAGCTAAGGGGTTTACTCAAACCTATGGGATTGATTATTAGGAGACCTTTGCTCCAGTAGCCAAGATAAACTCTATTAGAATCTACTATCTTTGGATGTAAATTTGAGCTGGCCATTACACCAATTGCATGTAAAAAATGTCTTTTTAAATGGTGATCTTTAGGAAGAGGTTTTTATGAGTCTTCCACCCAGTTTTGAGAAGAATTCGAGATCAAAGAAAGTCTGTAGACTAAACAAGTCGCTGTATGGCCTCAAGCAGTCCCCTGGAGCTTGGTTTGAGAGATTTGGGAAATCGGTGAAGAATTGTGGCTATTGTCAAAGCCTAGCTGATCATACTATGTTCTATAAACATGGTAGAGAAGGTAGAGTTGCTATACTACTTGTTTATGTGGATGATATAGTCATGACAGATGATGACAGTGAAGAACTAGAAAGACTGAAAAAGGGACTTGCAGCCGACTTCGAGATCAAGGATTTAGGGACATTGAAATACTTTCTTACGATGGAGTTTGCTAGATCCAAAGAAGGTATATTTGTGAATCAGCGTAAATATGTCCTTGATTTGCTTAATGAAACAGGCTTGCTAGGGTGTAAACCCACAGAAACACCTATTGAGCTCAACCTCAAATTACAGCCTTCTAAACCTGAAGAAGTCCTGGACAGAGAACAATACCAGAGACTTGTTGGAAAACTGATTTACTTGTTCCATACTCGTCCAGATATTGCATTTACAGTTAGCATGGTTAGTCAGTTTATGCATTCGCTTGGACAAGAACACTTCAATGTAGTCTATAGAATTCTCAGGTATTTGAAAGGGACTCCTGGAAGAGGTTTGTTATTCAAGAATCGTGGGCACTTGCAAGTTGAAGCCTATACTGATGCAGATTGGGCTAGAAGTGTTGTTGATAGATGATCAACTTCTAGCTATTGCACGTTTGTTGGTGGCAATCTTGTTACATGGCGAAGTAAGAAGCGGAATGTGGTGGCGAGAAACAACGCAGAAGCTGAGTTCAAATCAATTGCTCATGGGATTTGTGAGGTGTTGTGGATTAAGAGACTCTTAGAAGAATTGAAAGTTTCTAATCCACTAGCCATGAAAGTGTATTGTGATAATAAAGCAGCCATTTCAATTGCTCATAATCCAGTGCTTCATGATAGAAAAAAGCATGTGGAGGTCGACAAACACTTCATCAAGGAAAAACTAGAGAAAGGATTGATCTGTATGCCTTACATTCCCACTACTCAGCAAGTTGCAGATGTGCTTACTAAGGGGCTTCCTACTGGGCAATTCAACGAGCTAATTGACAAGCTGGCTATTGAGGATATCTTCAAACCAACTTGAGGGGGAGTGTAGAAAAGGAAAGAAATATTTGTAATTATAGAGAATTATTAGCTGTAAATGAGAATAAGTCAATGGTGTAAATTAGGAATTAGCTAGTACAGCTAGATAGCTATTTTTTAGTCAGTTTCCTGTTTTTATCCTTTGGTTTCTGTTTTTATCTTTTGGTTATTTTCCTGATTTTATGTATTCTCCTCTATAAGAGAAATTCGTGTAACTCTTTACAAAACAGAGAAATATACAGAAAAGCTTTCATGGTATCAGAGCCAGGTTAAAATTTTTTTTTCTTTTTTCTGCTTCAACCGCTTATGGTTAAGATAACCTCAAACCCGCCTCTTACAACCAGTCCTCCAACACAGACCTAAACTCCCAATACCGATATTCATCCAGTCCAAATTACCACTATTCGCCTTAATTGTGATAATTATTTATGGTGGCCTCAATCAGCTCGGATGTATATTAGAGGTAGAGGGAAGATTGGATACCTGACTGTAGACAAGAAGGCACTAGCAACATAGGATCCAATGTACGCGACTTAGGATGTAGAAAATTCGATGGTGATGACCTGGCTTGTGAACTCCATGGATGAGGATATTAGTTCCAATTATATGTGTTACTCCATAGCCAAGGAACTCTAGGAAAACGTGAATCAAATGTACTCTAACTTGGAAAATCAATCTCATGTCTATGAATTGACTCTGAAACTTGGTGAAATCCGGCAAGGACAGGACTTGGTAACCAAGTATTTCAATTCATTAAAACGTCTTTGGTAAGATTTGGATTTGTTCAATGATTATGAATGGAAATCCACAAAAGATGCCAAATATTACATCCGTATTGTTGAGGCTTCTCGTATTTACAAGCTTCTTGCGGGACATCGTGAAGTTTGATGAGGTTCGGGGGCGGATCATTGGCAGGAAGCCACTTCCTCCAATTGGCGAGGTGTTTGCTGAGGTTCGAAGAGAAGAGAGCCCCTACGCTGGGAAGGGCAAGAAGAGCACGTGAGGAACGTTTGTTTTCTCCACTGTTGCGATGGTTTCAGTGTGAAGAAAATGGTTGAATGTTGATGAGATAATTAAAAACTTTGAAATATAAAAAACAAGGCAGGTTGGAAGCTTGATGTAACAATGAATTGAAGTTTAGAATCAAATAAATTAATGCATTAAACAATGGGTTTTGTTGTCACACCTTAACTGGATTTGGTTATGACATTTGTTAGTGTTTTATCTAGACCTGGCAAAACGGGTGGGTGGGTGGGCTGGGTACGGGTCGGGTCAAATGGGTACGGGTCTTTATACGGGTCCAAAATATTGGACCCGTGCCCTACCCTTTACGGGTACGGGTGGACCCGTTTTTTCTCTCTCCAAATTTTAGTTTTTGCAGGTTCACCCCAAATAGTTTTCAATTATGACAGTTACACCCCCAAAATTCCTGCAATTTTAATTTTTTACATTTACACCCCCTAAATCAACTACTCTAAATTCAATTCAATTTAGAATATAAACAAATAGGAACATGTTGGCATAGAAATATTTCACGCTAAGTCTTTTTCAATGTTTCAAGTATTGTGTAGATATATGATACTATATTATATATATATATATATATAATGAATAAGAACACTAAGATCAGACATATATATATTCACTTAAAGAATGTATGGTGGATGACCATTCGCATCCGTTTGTTTGTTATAAAAGTGAGCATTTATTTATCAAACTCATTAAAGTATTAAATATATGCTTCAGTTATGAGCCAAGTGTATATTTTAGATAAATATTATGGCCTCCTTCAACAGAGATAATATAGATAAATAAATTAATCCAATATCTTGTACATATTATTTGTTTCTTACTTTGTTACTTTAGTTTATTATACATTATCAACACGAAACTCTAACAAGGGAAACATTTTATATTTCATTTCTCTAATTCTCATGGTTTATATATATATATTATTATTTTCATCAGAGCTGTTAAAACAAAAAAAAAAAAAAAAAAAAAACAAATGAAACAAGAGACGAAAATGTACCCAACAAGCCAAAATCTATGGCATGAAATAAAAGCCAATATCCCAGCATATGTATATACAACATTACCAAAATTCACAAACAACACTCGGATTAAGAAAGAATGAACAAAATCCAGAAATAACATGATTAGACAATAACAACAATTAAAAACTCTAAATCTTCTCTCTTATTTCAAGCATTATTGAAAAAAAGTGTCATATCCATTCACCATATTTCAGAACATATCAACATGGAATCACACACAAGTTCACAAGTATTAAACAGAATCTAATCCACCCATAACCTTACACTAAATAAACACTTAGAAAAAAATACGGAGAAAATCAAGAAATACACAAATAAGAAAACTTGAAGATAACACAACCCATTTGTATATTAATCCTTAACAATCCAAGAACTTTAAAATCCCAAATATTTCAAAAAATAAAAAGGAAAAAGACAAAACCCATATGGCTAAAGCGATAATACATTGCGAAGAGAGAAATGCATAAAAAATTAAAAAGTAAAGTTGTTAATTCCTTGTAGCACTCGAATTGTTTACCAGCGTCAGAGAGAGGAGATGAGCTGACAAGGATGAGCTGACTGATGAAGTGATGAGACTTGAGAGATTGAGAGGCGAAGACTTGAGTTGCTGAGAGTTGAGAGATTAATTGTTTATATACCAGTGTCGGACAGAGGAGATGAGCCGACAAGGAAGTTGACTAATGAAGTGATGAGAGATTGAGAGGCTGAGACTTGAGTTGCTGAGATGCGGCCGCGATTTAGTAACTGAGAGTGAGAGATGAGAGGCGTGCGTGATAAAAATTAAAATTAGGGATTTATTTCAGATTTGGAAAAATGGGTACCCGCGGGTTCACCCGTATAACCCGTCAGTTATACGGGCTAGACCTGGTACAGGTCTAAAAAAATTGGGAATAATATTTTGAACCCATACTCTATATTTTTTACCCGGATACGAGTCGACCTGCAGGTTTAAACCCGTTTTGCCAGGTCTAGTTTTATCTGATTACAACCAAAACAAAATGTTAGACAAAACGTTGTTCTCAAAAGTCCAGACAACCATTACAAACAAAAAGTGGTTTCCTTTTAATTGTAACTTAGGAACACAGACCGATTATTGTTTTAGTGTTTTTAATATTGTTAGAATTTAGGGAAGGTCACGCTGAGTGAAGGGCAGGGGAAACGAAATTGCCATTGGTTATCTCTATTTAATTCATCATGCTTACTCTATAAATAGTTAAAACTAGGTTGTTTAAGGATGAAGAAACCAGTGAAGCACAAGATACAGAGCAGGATTCATGTAAAATCAACTGCTAGGGTTCCAAAAATGAAGGAGAAGAAGCCAGAGGTCAAATCAATTGAGATCAGTGGTCAAGCGGCATACGTCGCAATGCAATGTAATTCATCAGTTTTCTTGTTTGTCAAAGGGTGGTATATATTATACAGAGCAGTGTAATTGAAGAAATTAAGTTGCCGTTTTAAAGTAGAGTGACATGTATAGCATTATATTCATCAGAAAATGATAGCATTCAAGTAAGCACAGTTTCTGGAGCAGATTGTTCTTACATCACACAAAAAACTTGAATAGTTAGCTAAAAATCAAATGGTAATTAACATTACATACCTGTGAGCTAAGAGCTCATTGATTTGATATCCTGAATCAGCTTTTCCAAGTTGATACAAGAGGACCCGCCTTCCTTAATACTATCACAAGCCAACCTTGAAAGTTTATCAGATGATGCCATGAACTGGTCTCTCCTATTATCCATCAGTTCTCTAACTAATTTCTCAACCATCGATCTATCACAAATGTCCTTCATATCAAATCCAATTTTCCAAACATCACTTACACACCTACTGTTAACCTGTTGGTCAGCTATTTTTGGCCAACAAATCATAGGCACTCCAGCAACAATACTCTCTAACGTCGAGTTCCATCCACTGTGGGTTAAAAACCCACCAATAGCTGGGTGCAACAAGACGTGCTCTTGGGGAGCCCAACTAACTATTAACCCTCTTTCCTTGGTCTCCCTTTCCAGCTTCATCAGCAAATGACCAAAACTGGCATCTCCAACAATCAGGTCGGATGTTAAGACCCATAAGAAAGATTTTCCACAGTTAATTAAGCCATGCCAGAACTCCAAGATTTGTTCCCGAGTGAGTTCTATCACACTCCCAAAACTAACATATAATACAGATTTTGACGGTTGAGAATCAAGCCACTTCAAACATTTTTTGTCCTCTTTCCACAAATTACCGTTGGATGAAGTTGAAGATGAGGAGTTGTCATTGATACGTGACTTCAAAGCATGTAGGGGACCAATGGGATAAATTTTGTTGAAAAAAGAACCCAGTCTAGTTATCATAGGAGCTTCAATTTCATTGAAGGTGTTAAGTATAAGACCGGAAGCTCGAGTAAACGCAGAAGTTTCTTTAACAAAGAACTGCAAAACAGGGTCATCGGCCTTTTCGAATCTACAAATCCCTGGAAGATCTCTTCGGCGAAGAACATTTTCTAGCCCAGGAATGCATGAAATGGGCTTCTCAAGGTTTTCATCTGCAATTAATTGAAGAAAATTAAGATTTTCAGTTAACTTATATAGTAGGATTCCCAAATGGTATCAGGGTAGACTAGTCGAGCTTTAATTTTGGCAAAAAAATTAGCCCTCACCTGGAAATGGAACTTCCCCTTCTTCAATAAGCTTGGAAAGATGAAGGTAAGTCCACACGCAATGAGCACTGAAAGTTCGAAAAGTAATAGTAGGAATTTCAAACTCTTCTGCAACATCAATGGCAAAACACATAATACCATCTGCGATTATGCAGGTGGGGAGTTGGAACGGCCCCTTCTCCTCTTTAAATGAAATTAACAACTCACGGAAGGCCGGCTTGGACACAGCCCTAGTGGAGCAAAACAAATCTATAAAGTATAGACCGAAACGTGGGTGATCGGGCGTTAGACCATCAGGGATAGACCTGAACTGAAATTTAGGGAAGCGATTATAGAAGGAGGATATGTCAATGTTGTGTAGTAGACGATCATGATTGTGATCTGAGTTTACGAAGGTGACTTGAAAACCCTCATGGCTAAGAAGCTCGGCTAGATTCAGCATGGGCTTGATGTGGCCCTGGGCTGGGAACGGCAAGAAGAGCACGTGAGGAACGTGTGTTTGCTCCATTGTTGCGACGGTTGTGAGGAGCTTTTCGGGGAGTGGAAACTGTGTTTCAGGGACAAGAAAATGGTTGAATGGCAACGAGAGATTTTTAAATTTTCTGTTAAAGAAAAACAGTACGGAATAAAAAATAAGGCACGTTGGAAGCTCGATGCAATCATGATGGAACTTCACGTGAAGTAAAGATCTGCAATTTGCGATTAAATTAACACTATCAATTAGTTTTTTATTTTCCCTTCCAGAACTTTTGACCAACGAGAAAATAACGTAAGTTCATCAATTTCCAATTCTATAATTAATTTATGATCACTAAATTCAAAAAGGAGTATTATTGTTCAAAAGACACTTAATATGATAGTATGGTGATTAAGAATGTTTCTTTTTATTGGCTTTATGGATACAAACTACCTTAAAGATTATTTACCATATTTATGATTTACTTAAAATATTAGGTTTGTAGAATGTTTAATTCAGTATGCGTAAACTGGTCTAAACTCATAATTTAAAAAAAAAAAAAAATTAGAAAGATTATAAGTCATTTGGCATTTGGGACCGGGTCTAAAAACCTGACCCAAAAACCCAGTCCTAGCAAGCTTGGTCCCAAAATCAGACCAAGCCTAAGGAGGAGGGCTCGCTCCCTCCACTGGGCCCTCCTCCAAGGCCCGGACCCAAACCCTTTTGGTTTTTTTTTAGCCCCCTAGATAATTATTAAAACCCCCTATAAATTTTGAAATAAACAAAAATTGTAAAGGTTTAAAAAAATTTTACAAAATTAAAAGGGTAAAGTTTAAGAGGGTTGAAAGATGAAATGAAAAAGAAGAGGAAGAGTTTAGTTGACTCGATTTCAGAAGAGAGGTGTGACGTAGAACTTCTAGCAAATGCATTCTTCGATAGGGCTAAGCATTAGAAGCCCAAACTCACGGCCCAAAAGTCCTAAATGGGCATGTCAACTTTAAACAACCATAACTTTTGATCTAGGAGGAATTACAAGGCTTGTAAGATATCAACGGAAAGCTCGTTTTAAGCTAGACCTATTGGGTTATTTTCGAGGCCGAAATCCATTGTTTCGGCGTGTTTCGAGGCCGTTTAAGTTTTCTATGCGTATTTCCCATTTTATTTAGAGTCCTTTCTTATTTTATAATTAGTCAACAGTTAAGATTTTTTTTTTTAATTAATTTGGATTTTATTTCCTTGTTTAATTGGGAGTCATGGTTGGTTGTCACCATCATATATAAACATATTATTTGTTTCTTTTGAGGATATATAATGATTTTTAATATTTCCTTCAAATTTTACGAATTAAGTTTTTGTGATTGAGACTTGTTTATCAACCTCCTAAAGGTATAGTCCAGTGCTAGTCTTGTTTCTACGCTAACTCACTATGTCAAAGGGAGGAGAAAATGGAGAAGAAAACAGAGATAAAGAGAAAAAATAAGAAAAAAATAAGGGTTTTATTGAAAAGTATGATAAAAAGTCAAAATTATCCTTTAAAACTGAGGGGCTCGAGCTCGAGCTTGAGTTGCACAAGTAATGGAGCTTGAACTGAAACAGAGTAGGATTATTAGTGGATTAGTCAGGATGTTATAATTAAAAATTTTGAAAAGAAAAGATAAATAATTCTTTCATTATGCTTTCAATTACAAGTAATCCAGCTAACATTACTCTCTTTCTTGAATCATCAATCATGTATGTTATGCCTAGAAAAGTAGGGCTGACGCAAAGCCCAGTCAGCATAAATGATCAGAGTCTAGGCAGATCCTACAGCCGTTCAGGCGCGGCCATGTAGCATGCTGGCGTGAGCAGCATGTTCCTGCCAGTGCAGTGAGTGCACGCTAGACTAACGAGAGGCTGGAGGCCATCCACTTGTCCAATCCCTGCATAAACCGAGGAAATCATGCCAGTAGGTAAAAAACGGGACGCAAAGAAGGATTTGCACGGTACCTGACCCCTTTTTATGGATTCAGTAATCATTACCTCAATGTATCCCACTATAAATAAAGAGTTTCTCTCCCGTTTGTGGGATTCGCTCATTTTTACTCTTGATTAGCTATCTTCTCTCTGTAATAGCTTACTCTCTCTCTCTCTCATCTGTATTCTAAATACTCTATAAGTCAGCTCACTAAGTCATGACCTGATCCTTCAAATAGAAATACAATATCAGTAGACGTAGGATTCGCTTGTTTAAGCATCCGAACCACTTTAAACATTGTTTTTCCACCATTTATATTCTCAATCCCTCATTCACGTGTCTTCTGGGCCAGCTTAGCATTTCACACGTGCATTTAGTTGGTGTCAAAATCACGCATCAACAGTTTGGCACTAGAAGGAGGGCTTGATTTAGTATTCGTCCTTCATCAGGAGAATCTTTGACTAACAAGTCCTACAACAGCTAATGGCTCGTCGATTCAAATCTGAGCGAACCAATCATGGTGTTGAGGAGATCCCTTAGGTACAAGAGGACACTTCTCCTGAGGTGCCCTCAGTTCCACAAAATGTCGCGGAGGATATCCCTTCAAGCTCACAACTTGACCCTGTCGTCATGAGCTACTTGGAGAGTTTTAACAATACTCTCCAAACGATTAACCAAAGGTTAGACCGTTTGGACCAAGGCAAGCCACCCGAATCAAATAGGGCGATGCAACCACCAAAAATGCCTACAAGTCGCGCGAAAGCATGAAAAAGGGCGATAGCCCGTACCGCGCGCACTACAATGCTTCAAAAGAAGGGTAAGCAAGCAATGAACAGCGGGCCTAAGGCCTCCAAAGGGCTGGTAAACACCGACCACATCCCAAGTAGAATACCCATGGCGTTAAGGCTCAGTGACAGGTCTCATCCCAAGCCATCCCATGCCACGTCGCATGAGCACTCCCATAAAAGTGCTAGACGGGGCGATTCTCATCACCGCCAAAATAACAATCCCGATCATCATCATGCGAGAGGTTCTCACACTTCGCGGGGTGGTTTGTACCACCGCAGAGGTCGTGAAAATTCCCACACCATTCATCACCATCACACCACTCTAGCCAGCATGTGTTAAGGGCAGTTGGAACTGTCGGCCGAGGCAAAAAGGAATTCGACCTCCGGACTTTCCTCAACCGCAATCATGAGGGTCGAACTCACATGGGGGAAAGCAGTCCCCAGATAACTTCGCTGCCTCATATTGAGGAGCTACAACGAGCTCTAGATAAGCTAAAAGCTCAGCAAAATGAGCAAAGGTAGGTCGCAGCAGCGTCTCCCTTTTCTCCGACGGTATTAGCCGCCCCTATCTCATCAAGATTTAGAATGCCCGATATGCAGGCGTTCAATAGAAATTCTTATCCGCAAGATCACTTATATGAATTCAACGACCTGATAGAGCTTCACCAGGTTTCAGACTTAGCGAAGTACCGTTGTTTGGTAGTAACCCTAACCCCTCATGCCAAACGGTGGTTCAGGTCGCTCCTAGCGGGATTCATCAACTCATGACCTCAGATGACCACGACGTTCCTGAGACACTTCCAAGCAAATCGAAAGTTCTCAATGCCTTTAAGCTACCTTAGCAACATAAGGCAAGAGAGGGATGAATCCCTCCAGTCTTACATCGACAGATTCCACAGAAAGCTTAATAAGGTAGCTCACACTCCCGAAGAGTCTGTTCGGACTCTCATCATAGTGGGAGTTCGCCCACAGACCGACCTCTGGAAAGAGCTACAGGCTGAGGATGATGTTTCCCTCACCTACTTCTACAACCTTGCGAAAAAGTACCTCCGTATTAAAAACTCTATGGCGGCGCTCCAGCGCCACGACCCCGGCACTTCAGGTAGTGCGCCTGGTCGAGGGGAAAGTATGAGAGTTGATCGCAGATGGGCTAATGACGATCAACGAAAAGGAAAGAAACCAAGGTTCGAGCCCAAAAAGTCTTATGCTTCAGTTCCTCGTCGCGATCGCAACAGGAATCAGTATACACCTTTGAATGCATCTGAATAGGCTATTCTTGACAAGTCAAAAGAAGCCGGCCTGCTCGGAGAACCTGAGCCCGTGAAAAATCCCCCATCAGCCAGAAATAATAAAAATACTATCACTTTCATCAGGATAATAGGCATCACACCGATGAGTGCTAAGCTCTCAAATAGGCAATCGAAGACCTCATCAAACAGGGGCATTTCAAAGAGCATATTGATGACTCCACTCCCATGCGGGAGAAAAATCAAAGGGAACCAGGAAAGAAGCGTCGTGATAGCAAGGGTATCTGCAACGTCAAAGTAATCTTTGGAAGACTACACCTCGTGGGGAACTCGCGAGGTGCCCAAGAAAGATATGCTCGCGCAACCCATCACGACCCCATCAGTGTGATGAACACGACGCGGCGACCACCAAAGATTCGCAAAGAGGAGGAAATTACCTTCTCCGAAAAGGACGCAGTTTGATTACATCATCCCCATGATGACGCTCTTGTGATCACACCCCTAATAGGGCGCTTCGACGTCCACAGAATATTGGTAGGCAACAGAAGTGTTGTGAACATTCTATTCCAGACAGCTTTCGAAAGAATGAATTTGGACGAGGCCGACCTAAAGCCTGCCTCGATCCCCCTATACGGTTTTACAGGGGATCACTTGATCCCCAAAGGAACGATCTCGCTTCCAGTCACGCTGGGTGACTTTGACGAGGTGACCAAAGTAATTGAATTCTTAGTAGTGGATTGCCCATCCGCTTTCAACGGCATCCTGAGGCGACCTCTACTGAGAAACTTCAAGGCAGTCACTTCGATATACCATCTCAAGATGAAGTTCCCCACCCCAACGGGGACAGGGAAGTAAACGGATCTCAGTGCATATCTCACAACTGTTATGTAAGGGCAGTACAGATGGCATGCAAAAGGAAAGGCATCTCGCGCGGCATTCCCAGACAGGCAATGGCGATCAGCCGGGTCGAACCACAGCCTAGCCTAGTCGAGAATAATATGGATCCTCGTATTCAGGAATGTCCTTCTAGTGGACCAGTTGAGGATCTATCTGAGGTGTTGGTCGACCAGAGCGAGCCGAGTAGAGTGTTGAGGATTGGGAACAATCTCAACCCTCAGCTCGCCACCAA